GTAATTCTCGAAAAGATTAATACAATTAAAGTTGTGTCCGGCGATAACGGAAGTTTTTCCCTCAACTTTAAGGGGCATTGATGCGTAGAAAATGTGCGCACGCAACTCTCAGCTTCTTATAACTCAGCAGAAGGTTGAGTGTAATCACCATTATGCATTTTTTGGCAGTGGTTCTAAGTGGTAGCGCATGCAACACCAAAAATATGACAATAACAGGTATCCAACAAGGAACGGGTATGTGAAATCTGCCTCTTTGATGAACAATCGCATCTCAAAGAGACTTTCGTCGAAAACTGAATCAGGTCTTAGATCCAATGCCTACTGTCTCGAATATAGGACGTCTTGCACATCTATATCATTTAACCCTAATTTCTAACTCATGGAGTTTGTATGCGATTCCTTAGCTTACAAACAGCAAGAACTTTCGAAAAGTCCACTCTGTATTATCAAACGTAACGTACTGTTACAAACGCTCAATTTTTTGCATTTCACTTTGTGCAAAATCCGGATTTCAAAATCTACTATTCCCGATCGAAAGGACCAATACCTTGTTAAGTTCTGTCGGTTGTTTATTTCATTCTGTAACGTGCGTGGTACTGAACATTAAATATCATAGCTGGAATGACTTCACTACGCACAATGTCTTCTCTTCAGGTGCACCTCTGCTGGTCTTGGCACTTTTTGCAAATTATCAAATTATACCTTCAACCAGTGCAGCTCCAATAGATTGCCAGAAGAACACTGCTGTCTGCTCAGAAGAAATTATAAAGGAACTGACCCAAGTTCGATTTGGGATTAAAATTCTCACGGAGAACATAACGTTGGTGAGATGTAAGTGAGATTCTTATTCTAATTGAACTGACTATTCCATTTCATCTTTATCATTATATTGTGTTCCATGAAAAACGGTGGTCTTATCCATGGCGATTTCGATTCCTTTCTTGAGGAATCACTTTGCCAGTTTGGATGACAAAATTTCCTGCACGCTTGGAGCTCTTATCTTCAGCAACTCCCTTTTCAAGCTGCAGTGATTCTGAACATTGAACAACCGAATCATTTTAAATGCTCTAAACTTTTATTGAATTCAGTCATTTGTCGAGTTTTTCCAAGGTGACTTTTTTTTTTAATTCTTGTATTATGATTTGATGCGCTTTTTAAAAATAAAAAATAGATGAAGAATCCAAGTCCCGTCGTCTTCTCTCCACGACAGATACTTCGTCAGATGATAAGAGCTCATTCATACCAAACTCCCTGTTTTAGAGCATTCCCACAACATCAAGTATCTTTATTTAATCTTCAATAGCTAAAAACTGTGCTGAGCTGTACAAATCCGGTCGAAGGATCAGCGGTGTTTACACAATCGACCCAGATGGTTCAGGCGCCTTCGATGTATATTGTGACCATACAACAGCTGGTGGGGGATGGACAGTGATGCAGAAGAGAATGGATGGCTCCGTTGATTTCAACCGCACTTGGAATGAATACAAACAAGGCTTCGGTAACTTGGTCGGTGAATTTTGGCTCGGACTGGATAAGATAAACCGTCTCACCAGAGACAAGACAAAAAACAAGCTTCGAGTAGATCTGGGAGTAATAAATGGGAAAACTGTTCGCCCTGAGTATGGCTGGTTTGGCATTGGGAACGAGACAGCTGAGTACCAGCTGTACATTGGCAATTTTATAAGTAAAAGACCCGTTTTCTTAGCATTCATTGTTCGATTCTCATATATTACTTCTCTCTCACCTATATTAAAATCAATTTTACTCCACTTTGTCAAATAGCGGTATTATCAAATGGCAAGGTACTCCTGAGGTAAACCCGAACGTTCTGATTGGTTCTTACTTGGTCGGGATTTTGGTAGGAGTGCCACATAATAAACTTTTTACAAACCTTATTTTTTCGATTCTTTAAAATTCTTTTTTCCCCTTTTTTGGCGGAAAACGACAAGGTTAAAGCTATAATGGCATTTTACGGATTCTAGAATTACACGAATTTCTTTTGTTCTGTTTCAAAACAGATGCCACTGTTTCCCCTGATTCCCTAAGTCCTCGCGGAGATTTCGTTTTCGGTACCTGGGAGATCCCGCTGGTTGTACTCAAAAAAGAGGTGGAGGCTGGTGATATGGCAACAGTAGCAGATGTGCTGTTTGGTCAAATCTCAATGGTATTTATCCGCGTTGTGGATATAAAACCTGGGCCGATATTCACTGGGGAAGATTAGTTCTTACCAGTGCCGCGAGCAGCGCTCCAAAATCAACTGAAATGAAAATTAGACCAGTGGAATTTACGCGCGAGGCCTAAAGTCTGCATATATGAAGTAGTTTGCACAACAGGAAAATATCGATTACTTTTTTCAATCTCTTTAATTCAAGAGGTTCAGATTTTAAGAATACGCAAATTAGATTAATGGAGGCGTCATTGATTCCACCACATTTTTGTAGTAAAGAAAATTTATTGTAGCCAGTTGGTATCAGAAATGTTTCATTATTTGCAGACTTTTTAAAATTTTTTTACAATAATACGAATGAAATGTCACCACACAATTTAAGGAATAGAATATTTTCATCGCACCAAGTTTAATTCAGAAGAATTCTAATGGAACGCCACATGTCATAAGATAGGGTTTATAAATGTTTTGTTCTTCATACTATTGTTCTTATCTTTTTTACTAATTTTTTAAGCTTTGCTATTTCAGTGGTATCATTAAATATTAGATCGCAAAAGGCACCTTAGAATGTAAGTTTTTATTTTGTGAAGAAATACAGACTGCTTTTACGTTATTTCTACAGCTATATAAAACACAACTTTCTCTTAATTTTCCCTGGGAATCGAATTGTCGCAGACCTTCTCCTATGCTCGAGGATTTCTAGGCCTACTATGGTTTTTCATATTTATATTTTCAGTATAGCTTCTTTCGCTTGATCTGACAAATAGTAAAGGTATCGAAGTACACTTCCGGGCCTGATGCAACCGCTTACTTTCGTAAAAGTATTAGTTTACCATGTTTCAATGGCTGTGGCAGCATATTGACTGATTAGATACTTCTTGTAAACTAACCTACAAAAACAATTATGTCCCAGACTAAGATAGATATTCGCAAATGAAAATGTGATGATTCATCCCTTACGGAGTTCTCAAATGATATGCTTAACATTTCAAGGGGTGAAAATTTGATTAAGGTGGCAGACAAGAGAACATACCCTAGTTGTCTGCACACTATTCTAAAGAATGATGAGACGGCCTATTGATCAAAGAGGAAAATTAATAACATTTTGTATTTCTTTCTCAAAGTCACAAAGTCGTTTTCCTTGATAACGAACTTAAATAAAATCCAGTTTGTTGCCATGTTCGCAGAGGCTGGTAGTTCAGTTGCGAAACACCGTTCGTTTAC